TAACATTTCTATAGATTGTGATCCTAAACGCTTGGCTCTAGGGTTAAGTTAACAGTACTGCAGCTTATAGCCTCTGATGCTAGTAAGCTAGCGTATTAAACATGCTAACTGGTCCACCTGCCTCTTAAATGTAATACTGCTACAGCTAGCAATCATTTAATCTGCCATTTGTTTTCTCCATCACTTGATTAATGTTTGATACCTAATAATAATAATGATAACCTTTCATTTTGTTCCAGTAGCAGTCCCCCTCCCCCAAATATTTAGAAGCTGAGATTCTCACATTTAAGAAGCTACAGTAAAACCAGACTTTCAAAAAATATGATTATTTGAAAAAGGTCTGAAATGATTATTTGATTATCAAAATAGTTGTGGATTAATTTTTTTCAATTAACTGATTAATCACTAGTCATTCAGCAAAACCTGTCCTTTAAGTATTTAGATTTTAAATTTGATGCATGAGATATATATGGTCATACCTAAATCTGTCACTGAATCTGACAGCTTTAATTTCATTTCCTTTTGAAATTCAGATTTTGATTAATCAACAGTAGTGTAGTTACATCTACCTCTGCAGTAATGAATAATGTAAATCATCACAGCGGAGCTGCAACCGGAGAATATTTGTTTGGTAAATGAAGCAAATAAATGACTTGTTGTGGAGTTGTTTTTGATCCGTCTTGTTTCTGGAGTAAATGATCCGACTACCTGTTACTTCTTGGTTTAATCACAGTAAAGTGAACATTTGTGGCTGTTGGACTGTTTGTCAGACAGAGCTTTGTGGATATGACTGATGTGCTGTAAAATAAAAAAGAGGAGCATATCCTCACACTGGAAAAGAAGAAGGAGAGAATGGGGAAGTGGAGTCTAACAAGTGATCAGAGCCTGATGGATGAAGGTCTGCTGGGCTTAATTTAACTTGAATTAGAGGACCAGAATAACAAAGACTGTAGCCTGTGTGGTTGTAGAAGTTAAAACCTGGGTGTGGTGTTGTATGACAACATGTTCCCAGTGAGGCTCTGCTGTAAATCCTCTGGAATCTCCTCCTGGAACAAACACTTGTGACTCTCAAGTTATGACTAGCACTCTGTGAGTTGCAGGAGTTTCTCTGATTAGCTGGTCTACCTTTGAGACGTCAAGTGGCCTGGGCCCTGACCTGCAGATAACCAGGATGTCTTGAGCTGGGCTGGACTTGGGCGGTGTGTAGCACACTCCAGGGGAAAGCTGCACTGTCAGGATGATGGAGATAAAATTTGCCTTTTCGAACTTCCTGCCAGTAACAGAGCCATAAACATGTTTCCTCGCACGCTGAGAAAGCTTTAATTACTTGCACGCTGTACAATAAGCAGAGGGAGTCACAGCCTTTACTAAATAAAATACCAGCACATTAATATAAATATACTCAATTGCACATCCTGCATTTAAACTCCTGTTTAAGCACAGACATATCAGCTTCATGTACTGAGCAGGAGTCAAAGTACTGAACCTGACTGATCGACTGATTCTGACATTTTTAGATATTGACATTTTTTTGACTTTTCTCTTAATAGTTTTGTGAGCTAATGGATAATTGTCACCCTCAGTAAAGTTCCTTAATATTGTACTTAAATACAGTATCTGAACACTTTGCACCACTGACGTGTACTAAAATTAACCTGCAGCTGATAATCCACTAATTATTTTATTTCACTAAAAAGTGAAATTAATTTGTTCCAGTTCCTCAAATGTGAGTCATTATAACTGGGCACCACAGAGTAAAGATCTACTGTCAGTCCTAAACTTGCCCCCCACCCCGCCCACAGGATAGTGTGGAACTGACGGATGTTTACACGGAGCTGAAGACCGGAGTCATTCTGATTCGCCTGCTGGAGCTCATCTCCAAAGACACGCTGCCTCCACCCAGCCGACGCAAGCTGAGAGTCCACTGTCTGGAGAACAACAGCATCGCCATCAGGTTCCTCAAAACCAAGGTGACGCCCTGTACACGTCTCTGTCCCTTAGCTCCCTCAGAACCAAACTAACTGACCTAAAATGTACCTCACATTTATTCCAAGCCTCAAAAACAAAGCACAATGCGTTTTCAAAAAATGTTGTTTTGCTAAATGTGATGTTTTATTGAATGTGCCACCTTTTGCAGCAGCTCCATAAACTGTAGGTCTGTGCATTTTAAACCCACGAGCAGCAGGTTTTCTCTCCTCATCAATCAATCACCGTCTTCTCCGTCAGATTCGGGTGGATCTGATTGGTCCAGAGAATGTGGTGGATGGGGACCGGACGCTGATCCTCGGTCTGCTGTGGATCATCATCCTCAGGTTCCAGATTGGACCGATTAACCTGGACGAGGTGGGAATCGAACCCACAACCTACAGTCGTTTTAGTTGAACTGAGTAAACATGAAAAATTTAGTTCAACATTTTCTTTGTTCTTATTTTATGCCACCTGAACTCAGTTTGAATATAGAATGTACTAAACCAACTTCATGTTGACCTCTCCTTCTCTTACTGAACATCTTCTCACCCTTCCTCCCTCTTCTTTGGGGTCGGCTGTGGCTCAGGAGATAGAGCGGGTCATTTCCTAACCGGAAGATTAGCGGTTTGATTCCCGGCTTGTCCAGTCAACATGTCAAAGTGTCCTTGAGCAAGACACTGAACCCCCAGTTGCTCCCGGTGATGTCACCGGTGTGTGAATGAGTGAGTGCTTGGGAGTGCGAATGGGTGAACGGCCGAATAATGTGAAAGTGCTTTGAGTGTGCTGTAAAGGATAGAAAGGCGCTATACAAGTATAAGACCATTTACCATTCTCTCACCCTTTTTCCTTTTACCTGTCTTCTGTGCTTTTAATCTTCCTGTTTCTGCTTCCCTTTGCTCCTTACTTTCTTTAACCTCCTTTTCCTTACTTTCATTTCATTTTTCTTTTTTCCTCGTTTCTTCTTCCCTTTCCTCTCACCTCTTTTTGTCTTTTCCTTCTTTTGTCTCTATTTTCCTTTTTCTTTCCTCCTGATTTTAATTTCTTTGTACTTTATTTTTTCTATTTTCACTACATTTTCTTTTTCTTTCCTTTTATCTCTTTTTCTTTTTTATTTCCATTCGCCTTACTTTCCTTTTTCCTCCGGTTCAGGTGGACGGTGGAGGCAGTGTGGCTCACCGCTCGGCAAAGGAGGCTCTGCTGATCTGGTGTCAGAGGAAAACGTCGGGCTACGATGGCGTTGACGTGCAGGATTTCTCCTCCAGCTGGAGGGACGGACTCGCCTTCAACGCCCTGATCCACACCCATCGGTAACACACACACACACACACACTCTTGTTTCACCCATCCCTCCATCAGTCTCAGTCATTCTCTCTCCCACCCAGGCCTGACCTTTTTGACTACCGCCGTCTCCATGGCGACGACCCCCGCCGTAACCTGGAGCACGCCTTCTCTCTGGCCGAGCGGGAGTTTGGGATCATGCAGCTGCTGGAGGTTGACGACATTGTGGTGCCTCATCCGGACGAGAAGTCCATCATGACCTACGTGTCCCTGTACTACCACTACTTCTCCAAGATGAAGCAGGAACAGACAATCCAGAAGAGACTCGCTAAGGTCTGAAGCCTCACCACCGGGGGCAGCACTGAACCGCACCCCAACACTGCTACCACAGTGTTTATTACACCATGTTATTACTACTGATAGCTATAGAGTAGAGCTGGCACAATCCCTTGATCAAACAGCTGTATAACAAGAACTGAATTGGCAACAGGCCAGATAATTATTTAACCATTTAAGAGGCTTCGATCTCGTGTTCTGGTTCTATATATTGATGGTTTTCAGTCTAATATTTCTGTGCTGTAGGTCTTTGTTACTACAGGAAGTAACTGTGCTTCAGCTGTGTGAGTTACTGAAGCTAAATCTGTGTTGAGGAGTATGTTTATATTTTACAGGTTCAGGCTATAGGAAACTCCAGGTTACAGGTTAAGGACCCTTAATGGAAAGGGCTCATGGCCGTCTATTCATTTTTCTTTGGGTTTTGGACTGTCAGACAAATGTGACATTTCATTCACCAAACCTTTAAGGAATTAATTTGAGAAAACAAGTGAGAAACCGGAATTTTAATATCGGAAGAAAAACCAAACCATAATAACATTGTAGCTATTGTGCATAGTTTTTCATTTTTTAAAAGAGAAAACTACAGCTGTGAAAACAAAACATTGCATTATTAGCTCCCTCCCACTGATCAAGGGGGAGCCATTGAAGAAAACTGGAGTAATGTAGCTCTGCAACAGACGAGGAGTTTTTATCAGGTGACTCAATATGGGGCTGCACTTAATGAATGTTTTTATTATCATTAATCTGCTGCTTATTTTCTCAATTATTGAATCATTTCTTTGTTTATAAAATGTCAGAAAACGGTGAAATGTGCCTGCTAAAATTTCCCAAAGTCCAGGAGGATGTGTTCAGACTGCCACTTGTATCTAACTGACAGTTTAAAATCCCCAAATATTCCAATCATTGTCAGATATGACAAAGAAAGGCATCACATTAGAGAAACTTCAGCCACTGTCAGTCTGTCACTGACTGAAACGATTAATTGATCTTTGTAATAGTTACTGATTTCCTTTCATTGAACGATCAATTATTTGGCTAATCGTTGCAGCTCTGAGTCAATATTACAGTTTTGACAAACTATTACAGCAAAGCTCAGAAATATAAATAGGTTCTTAGAAGTAGTGGGGGTGGTAGTACCCCTGCTACTTCTAAAGGTAAGTAATATTTTCAGTAGTAGGAGTAACTTTCTTCTGCCCTGACGTCCTTTTGGCTTACAAACACACACACAAGATGAATTGTAACTTTAATCCTGACTTCAAGTCTCGAGCCTCTGTCAGTCCTTTGTAAAGGAGTAACAGCGGACAAAATGTTCTCTACTTCACAAGAGCATCCTCACTCTCGGGTCTAAGGCTGGATTCTGTCTTCATAAAGATAGAACACAGAATACACACACAGTAGGTCATCATCAACTTTGTCCAGGCCGTTGACAGCCACCTGCAGGCTGCTCTCGGTACTGCAACAACACTCAGCCTTTAAATGTTCTCACAGGCAGTTCCTCTCCAAAGAAAACTAATCATAAGACTGCTCTCTGCATCTCCTCAGATCGTTGGCATGCTGATGCAGTTGGATGACATGAAGGTCCAGTATGAGAGAATGGTCTCAGATCTGCTTCACTGGATCAAAGCCAAGGTAACAAACCCAACAACAGTGCACTTTAACAGTAGTGAGAAAACAAAGGCAACCCTAACTTACTGTTGGACTGACTGGTTGTTGACTGACTGTCTGTAGGTGGTGCAGCTGAACGACAGACGATTCCCAAACTCCCTGAGGGAGATGCAGGCACTGATGACGGCTTTCAAGACCTACAGAACTGTGGAGAAACCGCCCAAATACCAGGTCAGACACAAGAGGTCAGCCTACACTCTGCTGCATCTGTTCAGTTATTAACATTTATTCACCTCTCGGGCTTCTTGTTCAGAATATGAAAAATAACTCAGCAATGCTAAGTGACTTACAGCAGGAGTCTGCTTTCTAACATGTTCCAGCTCAGGAGTGTGTCTGAGAAGGAAAATAAGACATATACACCACAAGATGAGTGTTTGTCATTTATCCAAGGAGAACTAGATACACAAATGTCCTGCCTTTAAATGGTACAACACAAAAGACCCACAAAATGTTACATTATTACCAATATACAACATTATATTAGATACTAAAAACAACTAATGAATCACAAAAACTGCAAAACTAAAGAAAATTATCTATGAAAATTTTCTGTGCTAAACTCATCACGGTAGGATTCAAGCTGCTGAAGTTCAGAAGGCCTCGTTCCATTTGTGGGAAGTTTAATGTAACATTGTCGAAGTGATTTTTCTCACTTTGTTTTTTTTTTTTGTTGCTGGAGCACAAAGTTGGTGAAGAGCCTCTTTTGCTTTATCTGGTTCTTTTTTCTTATAATGCTTCATAATCTTTGAGTCATTTGCTCTTTCGACCACTCCAGCCACACTGCTGCTTCTGGAGTCAGTGTCTCTGTCTCTGTCTTTAGGAGCGAGGGGTGATTGAAGCTCATTTGTTCAGTCTGAAGACTCAGCTGGCAGCCAACAACCAGTGGCCTTATAATCCTCCAGAGGGTACTGTATACAACACGCAGTTAGTCACAGTATCTGTTTGTTGTCTTTTTGCTCTCGCACTAGTAAAGCGGTGGGTCCTTTTGTGAGCTTTACGTTTGGTAAACCTAACATCTGACATGTAGTTGTAAACTAGTGGTGTGGTACGTAAGACAGTCATAAGCTTGTTGTGTGGTACTTGTAATTGCTTTGCCTTTTGTGTGTTTTACATTTGAAGCATGCTTTTGTAATGGTTTAGCTTTTATCTGAACATCAAATATTACAAAGAAACAAGTAAGCATGGCTTTTAAATTTCCTTGACAAAGTTTTAACGTTTAATAAAAGGTCGGCAGTATCTGGGGACAACCACTTTTTTATAAAGTATGGTGTCCCTGTTCACAGCAGATCTATTTAGTGGCCACAGGAAGTCAGTGTGTGATATTAATGGGTCATAAAAAGTATTGTGTGCGCACAAGAAAAGAACAGAAACACTCTTGAGTCATCCTACCTTTCATGCTAATACATTATCTGCATTTTCTAACACTGTGTTTCTTCCTGTTTGTGGATGCTAAGGTAAAACCCTCAGCGACATAGAGAAAAGTTGGGTTTTGCTGGAGAGAGCAGAACATGAGCGAGAACGAGCTCTGCAGGAGGCGCTGCTTCGCCTGGAGAACCTGGAGCAGCTCGCCCAGAAGTTTGGCAGGAAGGTAAATACACCTGTCCACAAAAACAGAACTTTATATGTGACAGAAAAACTCGCTTTAGCTGAGTTTACCTTTGCTCCATTTGACTGAAGAAGACTGTGAGGTGAACGCTCCACCTTTTTTTACTATAAGAGACACAGTAGATCTTTTTGACTTCACTGACGATTTATTTGTTGGTTGTACAAATGATGCAGAAGCTATAAATAGCACAAAATCAAATATAATGCATGGTACTTGTTTGGAGCCCAAAGGAAGATAGTTTTTAGGTTTTTTATGTGACAGCAAATGACAGTGGGGGCAAAATCATGGTCAGATGCATCAGCCCTACAGGTTGTGTCCAAATCATGTTGCTGGTGTCAGAGGTGGATGGATGGCAGGGTGTTATATCCAGAATTCAGCAGGTCTTTGATTTGCTTTGCTTTCTCAGGCAGCTCTGAGGGAGGGATACCTGGAGGACACGGTGCGTCTGATCCGGAGACAGGACGTCCGAAGTCTGTCCACCCTGGAGGAGGCTCAGGCAGCCGGTCGCCGTTTAGAGGCCCTCGCCACTGATGTCCTGGCCAGAGATCCACGCTTCACCGCCCTCAGAGATATGGCCAAGACCATCGAGAGGGGAAACTATCACAGCAAGGAGCAGGTCATCAGGAGGTGAGGAAAATATCAGATTTTATAATGACACCCTGTCGCTTCCATAAGCAGGAGGAATGAAGGTGTAAGATTGAATGATCACATGGAGGTACAGCGGTGTGAGACTGGACAGAAACTTAAAGTAGCACCTGGCTAAGGTTTAGTGACCCCCAACTGGAAGGTTTCAGGGTGAAGATGAGACAACTGAAGTTGCAGATTTGTCGTTTCTAATGTTATAGCGAGACAGCAGAGTTCCTCCTGAAGATGATGAATCAAACATCCTGTTGTTTAGAAAAAGGCTGTGTCAGTCTCTCTTATGATACAATTTGTGTTTATATATACAGTTTATATGTTTATGGAGATGAAACTGTGGCTGATTATATCACAGGTGGCATTTGGTGTGTGTGTGTATATATACATATATATATATTTGTGTATGTGCTGCATGTTTGTGTTCCTCAGAGAAGAGAACATCAGCCATCGATGGAAGGTCCTACTGCAACAGCTCCAAGAGCAGAGGGTGCTGCTGAGAAATGTAGTTGAAACTCTGAGTGTCCTTCGAGACATTGAGCTCATCTTCCTGGAACTAGAAGAACTGCAGGTGAGAGATTGCACAGAAACATTGATAATACGTTTGGTCATGGCTGTGCACATAAAACATAAGTGATATGCCAGCGACAGGCAGTCAGTATAGACAGCTGGATCGGTTTATAGGAGCTCGTGGGTTGTGTAAATTGATATGCTTTGTATGAGAGTTGGATCTATTAGCACATCCTTCCTCTCAAACCCTCTGTGTTTCCAGTCCCAGGCCAGCTCTTGTGAACTGGGGAAGCAGCTGGCCGAGGTGGAGTCTCTCCTTCAGAAGCAGGATCTCCTGGAAGCTCGGATCTCAGCTCATGGTGAAACCATCACTGCCATCAGCAGCACAGCACTGAAGGTATGGCATGAATTGTCATCCATGCCCACATCAGCATACTGTCAGAGTTTTAGAAGGTGTCCTTAGGTGTTGTTTGTTCATCTCCTCTTATCTCTCTCTCAGGGGAAAGTGAGAGATGGTCAACAGATTCAGAGCAGAGTGAGAGCTCTTGACGCTCAGTACAAATCTCTGGTGTCCCTCAGCAGCAACAGGTTTTCTTCTGTCTTCACCTTTATTGCTTTCACTGTTTCTGATTTAGCAGCTCATTCACTACACAACAGACAGATGTGACACCTGTACCCCTCTTTCATTCCTTCATGTCCTTGTCTCTGTTTTCTACTCCTCTACCGTTTCATCTTTCTGAGTTTCCTCCTTTCCTTTCCTCCTCCTCCCCCATGCTCTCTTGTTTTCCCCTGTCCTCTCTCAGGAGGAGACAGTTGGAGGCCCAGCTGAGGTTGTTTGAGTTCTTCTATGACTGTGAGGAGCTGGAGTCCTGGCTGTATGAGCGCTGGCTGACCCTGCAGACGGCTGGACTCGGACGAGACCTCAGCCAAATCCAGCTGGCCCAACACAAACACAAGGTGAACCGAAATGTCGCAAACACTGATTCACACAGAAAAGATATGTTAAGATAAACTGAAGAAAAAATGTTATGGTCAAATTTGCACTATATGGTTTAATCTTAATTATATTAATACCACATTATATTAAATATTATAATATTTAAAATGATTTCAAATAGGATAAATTGTGATAAAGATAAGTGTAGATATATTAAATAAACCATCTGTTAAAGTAGATTAATAATTGATTAGTAATGAAGATTATGACAGAAAAATGTAAATTATGACAAGGTAAGTGTAACTTTTATGACTTATTTATATATTTATATTTGTGTAAATAATATAACTATAATATGAAATACTGAATTATTTAGTAATTTATAGCCACACTACTAAATTTATGCCCTCAAAGTAATCCGTTTTTTCTTGAATGATTAAATTTGTCTTGTTTCTATATGACGCCAAATCTGAAGTTTCATTAAACTGAGTTCAGTTCAAATAAAACAGCTTTAAATCCAGGCTGTCCTCTGAAATTTCAAAAATGCATGTACACATTATTAAATGGAAGGAGCAAAGTGTAAAAACCATACAAGCTTACAGTTTTAATGATTCATTTGTAATTTTATGGCCTTATATCAGGCGCTGGAGTCGGAGCTCCAGGCCCAGGAGTCTCTGTACCAGGGTGTCCTGAGTCGTGGTCAGGATCTGCTGTCCAAACAGAACCAGGCCAACCAGAAAGCCATCCAGAAGTGGATCAGGACTTTAAAGAAGCAGTGGAGCCACCTGACCACCGAGGTGACCGGACACCGTGACAGGCTGGAGGCTGCTGCTGCCATCAAGCAGGTGAGTAACGAGCCGCCATCAAACAGACAGAACAAAGGGATTTATAGGCGATGAAGAGAAAAACAGTATCCCTCTTTCTGCTAGCAAATGTTGTTTTCTGTGTTGGCTCCTTCCTGTACTTGTATATTATTATATAACTCAGTTACTGAGTGTGGCTGTGACTTATGGGGATCCAGGTGTTTGAGAAAGATTAGGGAACTGCTTTTTGTCTGTGCAGTATTTTGCAGATGTGGCAGAGGCAAACTCCTGGCTGGGCGACAGGAAACCACTGCTGACCAGTGAGGATCATGGGAAGGATGAGTCGAGCACGGCGGCTCTGCTGCAGCGCCACCTGCGGTTGGAGAAAGAGATGGCAGCCTACGCCTCTGAGATCAAGAGACTGTCAGAGCAGGCGAGGAGTGCAGCACAGCTAACAGCGCTCACTGTGAGTACAGACTTTAAACTTCCTGTGTGTGTGTGTGTGTGTGTGTGTGTGTGCGCAGCTGTCTGCCCATGGCTGCAGGCTGTAAATGGTGACTAATGAGAATATCTCAGTGAGGTATAAACAAAACCTTGTGTGTGTCTGCATCTATAGACTTACCAGGAGCCTCAGGAGACCAGAATGATCCAGCACAGTGACTCGTCTGGAGAGGAGCAGCAGGACTCAGGACCAGGGACATCTTCACCAGATGCCAAGGCTGGGAGGGGCTCTGTGAGCACCCCTCCTCAGAGTGAGGAGAGCAAGGCCAAGGTCCGCTTCAGATACAGCAGAGGTACTGCAGGTCTGCATGGTGCCCCTCCTAGAAGAGCATGATGGGAAATAACTGCCATTTATAAACAGCGGTTTTGTTTACCTGAACAGTAACCATCCAGGTGTCTGTTAAAACACTGGAAGTTTCTCTCAACTCTATAGTTTTCAGACTCTGTTTGTTGTGACTCAGAAATAAGAGAGTTAGCTTAACCTCCTATATGCACACACATTTTAGGATTAGTTTTTACTGCTAAATGCAAAATACTTGTTGCATTTACCTCAGTATTAAAAACCTGGACAGATTTTTATATACATTAGTATGTGATCTTTTGTGCCCTGACTTGGCCATCTAAGGATAGAGGGTGTTTAGATGTCATGGTTTGTTGAAGCTCTTATCAGATTTAGACATATTTAAAATATGTCTAATCAGTAGATTAAAAAGCAATTCATAGTTTGTTGGTAATTTGATAGATTGATTTGTCGTCCAACTCTGCGTTGCCTCCTGTAAGACCCACAGGAAAAGTCATTTGAAATTGTTATTTTGAAAATACAAACACTGGCTGATTTTCAGGTCAGTTTCCTTGGGATCGTAACGAGATTGTAACCATCATCAGCACTGAGCCGGATGGAGACCGAGTTCTGGCCAGAGACAGCCGAGGAAACCAGCAGCTCATCCCCAAAACCTACCTGAGCCTGCTACCGGCACCTGTATGATTAATTATTACTAACATGTAAATCAGATAATTTATCAGTAACCAGTACCTCTCATTACCTCACAGCTTATAAATGTCTTTTTCACTCTGCTCAGACTCCTCCCCCCACCCCCACTGTTTCCACCAATGGTGTGCCAGAAAACCAGAGCAGGAAGCTGAGTCGTCTGAGGCGCAGGCGCTCGATGCGTCGCAACACAAGTGAGATCCAAACAGCACTGCTGCCAGACCCACAGTACCAGAGAGACACTGTGGAGAGCACGCAGGCCGGACTAGACCAAGACTACAGCACCCTGTTCAGCCTGGTCAAGGTGGAGAGGGGCAGCATGGGAAATCTGATAATGATGGAGTTTGAATTTAGATTAAAATAATGGAAGGTGGTGAAACTGGACACATTTAAAGCTACAGACAGCATTTATACAAGAAAAAACTGGTTTGTTGTTGTTTCTGTCTGGTCAGTCAAAGGTGAGGAACCTGGAGGAGATGCTGCGTCTCCATCGATTCTACAACAGCTGCCAGGAGTTTGAGTCGTGGATGGAGGACAAAGAGAATGTCCTGAACACCTTCAGCACCGATGCCGGCAACCTGGAAGTGGTGCAGGCCAAATACGAGGTGAAGACTTTACCAGCATCACAACTTCAAAAGCTGGTTCAACACAGTTTAGTTCTAGCAAATCATTATGTTTAGATGGATTTTAGTCTCATGTCTGTTCAGTGCAGAGCTGGCCCACTATTTATCAGACTCACTGCCTGATCATGTCTGCCCAGGAGAAGGGGAGATGCAGGTTACATCATAATGTTTTTCATTGTACCCACATTTCCTCACTTGTGTCTTGTTCTTGCATCTTTGTCCCTCTCACTGACGGTGTGAGGACAGTGGAAACAAGGAACAAACTAACACTGAGGTGGTTGTGACAGTGGATTGAGCTGCAGGAAGAGGTTTAATCATTTTCTGTGGCGTTTCAGTCAAACATGCCACTACTGCTGCTACAAGATCATCCACTCAAAGATTTTAGCAAAGCCTTATGAGAATGTATCTATAATAATGATCTTATCTGGTTAATCCATATATCCACTTCTGCTGCTTGTCTGGGTCCATGTTGTGTAAATGTAATGAATATATCTCTAGGAAGTGTTGTTACTGCCTGGAATACTGAAAAATGGGAAATAATACCTGTATTCACCCTTGTGGTCTTCCATTAAAGTTTTCTGCTTTGATTGGTATGACTGGTATTTGTTCTCTGTGGTATTAAAAAGTGTTAAACTTAGTGCGTAATGGTGGAGACTTCCTGTCTTAGAACTTCCTGACTGAGTTGGCGAGTGGACGTGGCCAGCTGGATGACATAATGAAAATGGCTGAGGAGCTGGTGAAGAGTCGGCACAGTAGACATAGAGAGATCCAGGCCAGACAGAGGAAGGTTTCTAACAGGTACAACACAGCCCCACCACCACACAGCCAGGATGTTCCAGTCTGTCTCGAGTTAGACTTCACCAACTGAGTCTGGACTCCTGTTCCTTGTGTCCTCAGGTGGGACTGCATCCAGCAGCTGAAGGATGAGAAGGGTCAGGAGTTGCTGAGCACAGCAGACATGCAGTCCTTCCTGCAGAGTTGTGAGGAGGCTAAAGCACAGCTACAGGATCAGCTGGCCCAGCTCGACACCGTAGACGTGGGCTGCAGCTCCTTCACCCTGCTGGCAGAGGAGAAGAACCAGGCTCAGGCCCTCAGGGACATCCAGACCCTGGAGGGCAAGATCGCCTACCTGAGGAGTGTTGCCAAGATGTACGGGTCTGATTTAGATAAAACAGCTTAGTAGCATCATTTAGTTGTATTGAGAAGGAGATGTTTCAGAACCCAGAACTTTCTAAATGTTCACATTTCCTATTATAGCCTCTGTTGGAGGTTGAAGTTTATCATCTGATGGCAGTGATTCTTTCTTCTAAACTTTTAAGACTATTAAGAGTAGCTGAGGATCTTTCTTAGTCACAACCACACTATCACTGTTCATTTTTGTTGTCAAACCCATTAACTGCAGGGAGAAAAAGAATAGTTAAGGAAACATGGACTGTAAATACTCGATCAGCTGCTACACTGTATGATGTGAGGTTTTTCTCAACACTGGTTTAGACCTAAAACAAATGAGAAAAAGACAAAGCTGAAATATTAACACAAACTTTCAGCTGTCTGCTTTGGTATTTTTCATGTTTAGCAGTGGAGGTGAACAGACACTGGGAGCATCAGAGCAGGCTTTACTGCGTCTCATATGCTGTGTTACAGGAAGCAGGACTGCAGTCCAGAAGAGAGTGCAGCCATCATGGAGGAGGTTCGGGGTCTGGAGGCTCTGCTCAAACAGGTTTGACTTCATGTTTCTGTCTCTGTAAGCCATCTCACAGATCTCCTGTCATCTGGCCTAAAATTGGGTTATGAGAGCAGAATTTGGTGAACAGCTAATCTAGTGTAGACACTTAGAAGATTGAATGTAATTGAAAGCGAAATGCATGGATTTGATGCACTGAATCTTCAGAGCAGGAACCTACAGTTTGACAGCCTTCCGGTCAGCAATCACATCAGCCCCCTTTCATATAGTCCTCCCGTTCTGTCCTGGACCAGGTGAAGCGTCAGGCTGCGGACAGACAGCACCTCCTGGCAGAGGCCCGCAGGCTCCAGAGCTTCCAGCAGCAGGCCAAGGAGCTGCAGCACTGGGCGGGTTCGGTGCAAGAGCGCCTCCTGCAGGAGGAGGCGGCCGCTGATGTGGCCTCAGCCGTCACGCTGCTGGAGCAACACCAGGAGCTCTGGCTGGAGATGGAGGAGCAGAGGAACAGGTAAGGAGGAGGAGGCGGCAGGAGGAACAGCCCCAGCATGCAGTAAACAGGTTGGCATTCGTTATATTTTAAATAGCTAACATTTAGCATGAAGGTAGTGGTCTTAGTAACAGTACAGATTAATAATTCCAGTATAAATGACACCCCTGTGTTTTCTCAGGCTGAAGGAGCTGGAGAAACTGGGCAAATCTCTCAAGCAGGGCTCCTCTAATGGTAAGGCAGGTGGTGTCGACATCCAACAAACCCTGGACAAGCTCAGTGCTGATTGGTCTAAGCTGGAAAAGCTGTGGGCCAGTAGGAAGAAGCATCTGGAGCAGGGGCTGGAGCTCCAAAGACTGAACCAGGAGGGAGACCGGATCGAGGCGGCGCTTTCCGGACACGAAGCCCGACTGAGGGTGAATGACGTCGGGGTGAGGACGCTTCACTCTGATCTGTTTTTTAAAAGCCACACTTGACCATGATACCCAGTGGTGGACAAAGTTCTCAGATCACCATAAAGTATCATAGTATTAAAGGTATCTGTGTAGGTTGTAAAGGTGGGTCTAGTACTCAAATAAATATAGTGGGGTAAAAAGTGCAGTATTTCCTACTGAATTGTAGTTGAAGTATAAGATGGCAGAGGAAATACTCGAGTACAAGAACGTCAGAACTGTACTAAAGGACAGACACTGCAGATGCCAGAGCCGCATGCTATGGACAGAGAGAGTCTGCAGTCTGTGTTTTGCACACATTAATAAGCTATTTGTGTTTATTGATGCAGGATTCAGTGGACAGTGTGCACAGTCTGCTCGGCCGGCAGGACGAGCTGGAGGGTCTCCTGAAGGCTTTGGACCAGCGAGTCGATCATTTCAGTCAGCGCAGCCAGGAGCTCATCAACCAACAACACTATGCTGCAAAACAGTAAGAGAACAGGAATGTTAGCACCTGGGCACATGGACCTTTGTTTAGAAGTGTTAAAAAACAAATAGCTTTTTGCAGTAAACTGGTATATGGCAGAAATTAACAGAAGTTCAGTGCATTGTGTGATTTACATCAGATGAAACTGTTCACATGTAGGACAAAACCTTCTGTAGTTACAGTTTGCTTGGAATTTGACTGAACGGTGTCAAACTGTTAAGACAGTGCGATGATACCAGCACTATAGGACACCACTAAAAGTTGATCCATAATCATTCTGCCTTGGTGAAGGTCAGAGCCTGTCAGCTTCAGGAATCTGCTTAACTGTGCCAAGGTGAAGGCGGTTGGTTATTTCCAGTGTGAATCCTCCTTAACAAAGTTGACTACCGAACTAGAAGTGGTATGTGTGTGATTCTGTTTCAAAACTGCTGAGCTTATGTTTCAGCATCAAGGAGAGGAGAAGGAGCATCCAGAAGGCCAACAGGAAGCTGAAAGAGAGCAGCATGCAGAGGAGGAACCTGCTGCTGGCCTCCAGGAAATACCAGGTACTATATCATCACACCATAACCCAGATTTATACAAAACCGGGTAACTGTTTAATTCTTTGTTTGGTTATTTATCTGTGAATCCACATTTTAGTCATCATAACAACTGTCATGTCATGTATGTTATGTTGATATTTATGGTCCCAGTGGGACAGACTAAGGCTGCGTCCACATCTCAGGCCTCAGTTCTGATGTTTCAGTCAGTTGTGATCTTGTTGTGTTGCTGCTTCCTGTCTGCGTGTGTCAGTGTCACGTACCCAGCTCCGGTGTGAACACCGCTGAGCTCCCAAACTGCCACACATCCACAGATGTAACTGAAATGTGAGCCACGTGCGCACAAGAATAACAACCAGGTTGTGTGCGTGGATCTAGGAGCACATATGCAGGCGGCCCAGATTTGATCTGAGGACATCTGGTCTGGTCTGTTGACACTGCTGTGGACACATCAGGTCTGAGGCACCGGGAGGGAAACTGCAGCAGTGATGAGAACACAGGCTTAGTGAATCTGATTTTGGTAACTGTGCTGAAATATTTGATCATGCACAGGAGCACAGCAGCAGTATGTGGAGTTCATTTGTTTTGTGGTTGAAGACCACCCCTGTTACCTTTCTGGATGTTCTCTGCTGCAGGAGTTTCAGAGGGATGCAGAGGAGCTGCTGTTCTGGATGGAGGAGAAGTTTAAAGTGGCTGAGGACGAGTCATACCGTGACCCCACCAACATCCTCCGAAAGCTGAAGCGACATGAGGCGGCTGAGAGGGAGATGCAGGCTAACCAGGTCTGGCTGGACAGACTGGTTCAGGTAAACTGCCGCGCTCTGTTTCCCAGTACAGTGACACACAGTTCAGGAAAAACATCTTCAATTACTTAACTTTACTGACTCGTCACCTGCGCAGCTGTAAACGCATACATGTGTGTATCCAGCTGGGGCAGGAGATGGTTGCAGAGGAG